AGCAGCGACAGAGTCTCGCGAGGGCTGAAGCGCACCGCCTCGCGTGGGCTCCAGGTAGCGTCCATCATGAGCGCGTCGGTGATGGGTCCGCCACGAAACAGCGATGCTGGCTCGATTGGCACGAATTCTCGCCATGCACGAAAGCACGATGGGTGCCATGCCGGCGAGATGATAGAGCAAGCGGCAAGATGCGCTTGGGATGCGCATCCGGATCCGGATAAAGCGAGTCAAAGATGCGTGTGAACCTTGCCATCCACCCACAGTCCTGGCGAACGGTGGCAATGCATGCAGGATGATACATGTATTCGCCCTCTGCTGCGCGGTACTTACGTGCCAATACAGACACGATATCGTCGCACGTGGATGTGGCCGGTCGGCAGAGATGACGCCACGGGATTCTCATGGTCGGTTTCTCTGCTGGTAAAATATACGGCAGCGAACGCCACGTGCGTGTGATAAGGCAGCACGAGACTGCGCGAGAATGCACTTTGTTTGCAACGGCGTCGCTTCTGAGAGCACTCGCTTGTCTCTGTGCCGACCCACCGCGAAGGCTGACGTGGATCTTGATGCGGCGCGTCATGAAGCCATACGTAGCGCTGCGAGCGCACTGCATTGAGGTCCCGTGGTCCTTTCGCTGCATGGCCAAGCGAATGGGCACAGTGATCTTGCGGCTCTCGGGTCATATCAGATCGGTTCAGAGCGCAATGCTTCCCAGAGGTGCGTCCATCACGAGTACCTATGGCGTAGCATCCATTGGCCCGTTGGGGTTCTGGATACTAAAGCGTGGTCGTCCTCGGACTGTTGCTGCTGCTTGCTGCGTCAACGGGCTTTGTCTGTTGTGTCAACAAAGAAAGACCACCGTCAGCGTGGCAAAATGCAAGTTGAAGTTCAAGGCGCCGTTGACGCCAATGTGAGCGATACAAATGCATGTTTTCAACCTTTTTTCAAAAATGGGGATCGGTATACATTCTGCAAATCAAACGCGTTGGAAATCCAGCGGCCGCCCGCTGTTTTTTACAAGATTCATCCTCAGCAGCCGCCATGGTATTGGGAATAAAATCACTGGCCCATACACGTCTGCGACACTATTATTATTCAAAAATAGAAAACGTTTAAAACACCATATAATGGGCGCGTACAATGTACGAAACAAACCTGTTGCAAACCCGCCTGGCTATCTTGGCAACACTCGCTGAACGTGGCCCGATGATGGATTCTGTAATTCGCCGTGTTATGCCGAGCCTCGGCCCCGCGTCCGTCGTTCAAAGCTCAATTCGCAGCGCGCTCTTGACCAAGTCGTCGTCGCACATGAAGCGGAGCCGGGCGTGCGCCAACCTCGCGAGCCTCGAGCTCGCCGAGGCCGGCCCGCTCGTGACCAAGAAGTCAAAACGTCTCGAAGCTTCGCTCATCCCAACGGACCTGCGCCGCCAGTCGCTCTTCCTGGAGGCCGAGTTTGCCTTCGTGCCAGGCTTCCGCGACGCCGACGCCGCGCTCGCTGTGTGGATGGAGCCGTGCAGCCTCTCGGAGACGAGAATACAAAAGGCGTAGGCCACCACCACCGACACGGATGGTATATCAAACGACAACGTAGTATTTAGTCTCAAGCGCGGAATGAAGTAGCAGTAATAACAATAAGGATATAGGATGAAAGCAAGATGTATATCGTATTGCGTACAAGCCACTGCGGCGCAACTAGCCGTACGGCGACCAGTTGGACGTGCCGCCGGGCGCTTGGCGCGTCGACCGCGACGAAGACGCCGTCGGCGGCATCGAGCCGGACGTCGGCATGCGCTGGAACTGCTGCGGCTGGTGTCCAAACTGCGCCGCGCCCGTTTGCTGAAACACATTGCCCTGCTTGGGACCGTTGCTACTCGGTGGGTAGCCCGAGTGATCTTGGTACGAGTAGTTGCTTGCGGCTGTTGGCGGTGGGCCTCCGCGACTGTAGCCCGTCGGAGGTGGACCGCCGTAGCCGTGCGACGGTGGTCCTTGATTCGGTGGCGCATACGCCGTCGGTGGCGGCTGCTGGTACCTCTGCTGCTGCTGCGGTGGTGCTTGATATTGTTGTTGCATTGGCGCCCGAAATTGCTGGGGCAGAGAAAACGACTGTCCACGGTTGGACTCGGGACCGCCCACGCTCACGTTGTTCATGAGCTTGGAGAGCGGGGACGGCGGGTTTCCATACGAATTGTTGTTGCCACCAGCCGTCATCGGTGGCGCAAACGATGATGCGGACGACGAATGGCCCGTGTAGTTGCCCGAGCCACCCGACTTGCGCGCCAGCCACTGCCGTCGCTTTTTTTCCCAGTTTTGGTCGCGCTTTGACGATGTTAGCGGAGGCTGTGTCCGCCCACTCGCTCCTCGGCCCCACCCCATGGTTTGGGGACGCTCCTGGCCTTGCTGGGAGTAGCCCGTCGCCGGTGGCTTGTAGCCACCGTAGCCACCGGCAGTCTGTGGCGGTGCATAGCCTGTGGATGGTGGCGCATATCCCGTTGGCGGCGGGCGTCCGTAGCCGGTTTGTGGCGGCGCAAACGCGGTGGGTGGAGGCGCCTGTTGCTGGTTCGAGTACTGTTGTTGGTTGTTGTTGCTCGGGCTTTGTTGGTACGGTGTACGGAGGCCTGGTTTCTGCGGGATAAAGTCCGTTCGCTGCACGGCGTCCCGGTTCTCGGCGTCGGGCTCCGGGGCCGGCGCATTCGTGCCAAACCCACCCGGACCTAAAGAGCGTCCAACGTCAACCGTCGACGACACGCAGCGTGGTTTACCAAAGGTGAGCTGGGACGCGCCGCCGGGCGGGCCGTGCACGCGCGTCGAGCTGCGCTTCACGTTCATTTGCGTCGACGTGAGCGTCGACATCGTGGGTTTCTTGCGAAATGGCCCTATTTTTATCCCGTCCGAGCTACTACTACATCAGAAATAAAGGTTGACGATTACGCCGACAGTAGCGTTCCGAATGAGCCTCTTTGAGCTCGCGGACGCTGTCTTTGACGCCAAGGCCAAACCCTCAAGTGCCCCACCGCGCTATGCCACCGCGTCCGGCGAGCTCCCAACGCTCTTTCTCTTGGACGAAACGCTGCAGCATTTGCATCGGGCGCGACCACTTGCTGGGCGTAGCACACCCGTGACGACACCAACGCCATGGACATACAAGCCGCGCGACGTGCCGACTAATCTCGCTATTGGCCCATTGCCAAGTGCATCTTCCAGTTTGAATGCGAGCCCGAATCCATTACGACGCGTCTTCTCCAATTCCTTGCTCGAGGTATGCCATTACCACGCGAGAGATTGTTGTACAAGTCGTCTTGCACGATGACGGCTTGCGGTCCCATTCCTCATCATGCCTGCATTCTATGCTCAAAGTAGGCGTCGGCGCCATCGCCACGTCCGCCGCCGGTGGCGCAAACGCCGCCATCCGGGGCCAACTCTGAAACAGGTGGTTTACCAAGTGCAACGTGGACTGATTCTGACGATGCTGAATCACTCGATACCCTAGATACCCTTGGAGCTGATGCCGCCGCGCGAAGCGCTTTGAAGGCCGCGCTGGACGAGTGCGATGCCTACGACCGTGCTGGTGCGCATCATGCAAGTGCAGACGTCGCAGCATATGTCTGCGTAGGTCCAGCGTCGGCAGCTGTCGCACCCGCCGCGTTTGCAGCGACCATCGAGGACAAGTACCTGCGCGCGACTCTTGTACGAACAAGCGGCGTGTGGACAGAGGAAGAGAACCTGATATGTAGGCGCCGCTACCGACGACGCCTTTTGTGGCGCTGGCGAGAAAGCGGCTTCAGAGGCGGTTGAGCGAGTACGTTGCGGACGTTGCGATCGTCCGCACGCCGTCCTCGGCGGGGGATCTGGAGGCGTTTGGACGCGACATTCGCGCCGTCTTGACGTCGCTGCAGGACCAGACGAGCAACCAGCGTACCCACGACGAGAGCGACAGCCTCAGCGCGCATGTCCAGTGCACCAAACAGCCAGCGGCGACGGGGCAGGCCGCGCTTCTGGCCAAGCTCGCGACGCTGCCGAAAGCGCAGCTCCAGAAGCTCCCGAAGGCGCAGCAAGAGCTCGTTGCGTTTTCCAAGCGCTATCAACAAGTGCTATCGATGGCACCCGCGACGTCGCACAGCTGCCGCCACACACCCAGCAGTTCGTCGTCCGCGCCCAGGCAATGACGAAATGACCCGTCAACGTCGTCCTCAGAGTTGACGCCAACAATCGAGTTCCACGGGCGCCTTGCACGACGGACGTCAAAGATACTTTCTCGCACCACCTCACAAGTTGAGTTAGCTGTTGACACATCATACTTTGCAGTCAGTTGCGTGTTGCCATTGCGCGACGAAGCCTGGCTCGCATTACTCGCCCCTAATTACATGGGTGCGGACCATGGAGGACCAGACGCGGGATGATGAAGATGCCACGCCTTCGTAATGACCACGTGAGCACAAACGGTCGCGCCACGCTGTCGCGCCACGATAGCCCGCGAAATCACTTGGCGCGCGTCAACACTCTACGGACCGGCCACGGACGGGACAGTAGGGACACGGTCGCGCGAATTCTGGGCCTGTTCCGCACCGTATCCGGACGTTCCGCACCCATGGGGTATCTGTATCCGGTAGCTTTGCCTCATGTTTTTTAAAATCATTTTATTATGCAGCCCTGCGTGCCTCCTCGACGTTTCGCAGCATTTTATTGATTTAAAAAATAGAATCGGGTGCATTTTTTTAGAAATTGAAGCTGCGCGCCGGAGGGAAGAAGCTCCTCATTTCCCAACTCGCCGCCAAGAAGACAAGTACCATGGCCGACACCAAGCCCCTGAGCGTACGCTTCCTTCCTCCTCCTCGACATGGCAGTAGCATGCCATGGACGGGATGGGTCCATGAACATGGAGGCTCATGCATCGTTGCCTCTGTAGACGTGGGAAGCGAACGTCGAAGTCGCCCTCCGCATGACCGAGACCGGCCTCGGCGCTGCGGCCCCCATCACGATCTGCGACGCGCTCGCCAAGACGGTCAAGGAGAACCGCGAGAAGCCGTGCCACCACATCAAGAAGGACGGCGTCTGGTACGAGAAGCGAACCCAATGAGGCGCAGGACGCTCACGACGACGATGTAGGACCATCAAGACGTGGGGCGAAGTCCATGCCGAAGTTGAGTCCTTTGCCAAGAGTTTGATCCACATTGGCCTCGAACCGTTCGAGTGCGTCAGCATCATTGGCTTCAACGCGTCCGAGTGGGTCGTCGCCAACCTCGGCGCGATCATGGCCGGTGGTCTCTCGGCTGGTGTGTACACGACGAGCAACCCCGAGGCGTGCCACTACATTGCCGAGCACTCGGAGTCGCGCGTCGTTGTCTGCGACGGTGTCACGCAGCTCGAGAAGTTTGTCTCGGTCGCAGACAAGCTGCCCAACTTGAAGGCGTTGATTATCTACAACGACGTCGTGCCCGCGGACCTCAAGTGCCCCGTGCCGGTTTACGCGTACGACGATTCCTCAAGATCGGCGCGGACGTTGCCGCCGAGAAGCTCCAGGAGCGCATTGCCAACCAGCGCCCGGGCCACTGCGCGACGCTCATCTACACGTCGGGCACGACCGGCCACCCGAAGGCCGTCATGTTGTCGCACGACAACATCACGTGGACGGTGTTTGCGACCGTGGTGACGTACGGCCGCACGGGTGTCACGTTCTCGAACAGCGAGGCGCTCGTGTCGTTCTTGCCGCTCTCGCACATTGCCGCGCAGCTCTTTGACATTTACCTCCCGATCATGAACGGTGTCCGCATCTGGTTTGCGCAGCCCGATGCCCTCAAGGGCTCGCTCGGCGCGACGCTCAAGGAAGCTCGCCCGACCTTCCTCTTTGCCGTCCCGCGTGTCTGGGAAAAGATGATGGAGAAGATGATCTCGGTCGGCGCGTCGACGACCGGCATCAAGAAGTCGCTCGTCACGTGGTGCAAGGACGTTGGTTTCCGCAAGAACCAGCTCGCCCAGTACGGCCAGTCGGGCGGTCTTCCGTGCGGCTACACGATCGCGCAAAAGCTCGTCTTTGGCAAGGTCCGTGAAGCGCTCGGCCTCGACCAGTGCCGCGTCTTTGCCTCGGGTGCGGCGCCGATCAGCAACGAAACGATCAACTTCTTCATGGGCCTCGACATGCCCATCTACGAGTTCTTTGGCCAAAGCGAAAGCACGGGCCCGACGTCCTTGTGCTTGGCCGAGCAGTGGAAGGTCGGCACGGTCGGTCGCGAGCTCGAGGGCACGCGCATGAAGGTGCTCGACGACACGCAGGAGCTCGTCGCCCAGGGTCGCAACACGATGATGGGCTACCTCAAGCAGGAAGACGTGACGAAGGACACGATTGATACCGAGGGCTGGCTCCACTCGGGCGATTGCGCCAAGATTGACGACGATGGCTTTGGCTCCATTACGGGTCGCATCAAGGAACTCATCATCACGGCCGGTGGTGAAAACATCCCGCCGGTCCTCCTCGAGGACGCTGTGAAGGAAGAACTTGCCGTGCTCTCGAACGTCATGGCTATTGGTGACCGCCGCAAGTTCTTGACAGCGCTCTTCACGCTCAAGGTTCTCGTTGACGGTGAGGGCAACCCCACGGACAAGCTCGAGTCGACGGTGGCGACGACGCTCCAGTCGATTGGCTCGTCGGCGACGACGGTCTCGGAAGCGCGCGAGTGCCCCAAGTTCAACGCGCACCTCATGGCCGGCTTGAAGAAGGCCAACGCGCGCGCCGCGTCGCGTGCCCAGCACATCCAGAAGTTCCACATTCTCGACCACGACTTCAGCGTCAACGGCAACGAACTCACGGCCACACTTAAGCTCAAGCGCCGTGTCGTCGTCGACAGCGGAGGATGCTAGGCAGGTTCCAGGAGCACATCGCGATCAGAGATGCACCCATCATACTATCTCATCAGTCAGCTTGAAGTGGAAGCTGGCAAGTCGACATGTGGCTGACAGTGCGCTTCACGCATTCCGCCGATGACCCCCGTGGCACCGGCGCTGCTTTTGCTACTTCGTCTCTGCTCTTGAAACTTGGACCTCGATGCTGCTTTTCTCGATGCGCACTCCCGTCGTTGCATGCAATGGACTGTATATTACTCCTTAACCCTCGGTGCCGCCGTAGAGCGACTCGATCACGTCGGCGTACTTGTCGACGACGACCTTGCGCTTGAGCTTGAGCGTTGGTGTGAGCTCGCCACCGGGCATGCTGAAGTCGTTTGGCAGCACATGATACTTGGCAATGCTCTGCGCCCGGGACGACGCGCGGGCGTTCGCCTTCTTCATGCCCGCATCGAGGTACGTCTGGACCTTGACGCACGCAATCGCATCGCTTGACGTTGTCGCCGGCGAGCCAATGGACGCGAGCACTTCGAGCGCCTTGGGGTCGAGCTGCGTCGTGGGCGCGCCGTCGCCATCCATGACGACGCGCAGCGTCATCAGCGCGGTTAAAAACTTGCGCTTGTCGCCAATCACCATCACGTTGGAGAGCAGCGGCAGCTCTTCCTTGATCACATCCTCAATGAGGACGGGTGGGATGTTCTCGCCGCCCGCCGTAATGATGAGCTCCTTGATGCGCCCGGTGATGAAGCCGAAGCCGTCTTCGTCTAGCGTCGCACAGTCGCCAGAGTGCAGCCAGCCGTCCGCGTCAATCGCGGCTGCCGTCTCGGCCTCCATGGCGAGGTACCCCATCATCGTGTGCCGGCCGCGAAACACGAGTTCGCGCGTCTCTGGCATCACCATCCACTCGGTGCCGGGCAGCGGCTTGCCGACCGACCCAATCTTCCACGCGCCGGGAAAGCACACCGACTGCGGGCCCGAGCACTCGCTCTGGCCAAAAATGTCGTAGATCGGAATGTCGAGCGAGCTAAAGTAGTTGAGGATCTCGACGCTCATGGGCGCCGCGCCGACCGCGCAAAACCGACAGTCGTCCAGACCCAAGGCCGCGCGGACCTTGGAGAGCACGAGGCTGTTGGCGAGGCCGTACCCGCACGGCGCGCCGCCCGACGCGCCAAACTGCGCGAGCTGGTTCTTGCGCGCGCCCTTCTTCTTCGCCCAGGTCGCAATCGACTTTTTGAGGCCTTTCGTCTGCTTGCCAATGTCCCACATCTTCTCGGCAATCTTCTCCCAAACACGTGGCACGCCGAGGAAGAAGGTCGGTCGGACTTCCTTCAACGTTTGACCGAGCGACCCCTTGAGCGCATCCGGTTGCGCAAAGTAGACCTTGGCACCGGACATGATGGGCAAGTGAATGTCAATCATCTGCGCCGCCACGTGCGAGAGCGGGAGGTAGCTCACGAGCCGCGCATTGTGGTCCAGGCCGACGCCAGCCTTGCCCTGCGCTTCGAGCATCGCCGCTACCGTCCACGTAATGTTGTCGTGCGACAGCATCACGGCCTTGGGGTTGCCGGTCGTGCCCGATGTGTAGATGAGGGTCGAGCACTGTCCCGGGCGCTGGTCCGCCATGCGCGCGTCCAGGCCCTCCGTCGTGACGCCGAGAGCCATAAAGTCGTCAAAGCTATGGCACGGCACGGGCACTGAAACCCGTTGGGCACGCTCGCGTTGTAGACCACGAGCGCCTTGAGCGCCGGGAGCTGATCGGCGATCGACGCCATCTTCTCGAGCTGCGCGACGCCGTCACAGACGACGACGGCCGCGCTCGCGTGGTGGGCAATGTACTGGCAGGCCGGCGGGTTGTTGGTCGTGTAAATGCCCGCGGCAATCCCACCGGCAAGGATGCAGCCCACGTTCGCAATGAGCCACTCGGGCGAGTTGAAGCCAATGATGCTAACCGCCTCGAAGCGGTCCATGCCCAGCGCGAGCAAGCTGCGGCCAAACGCTTGGCACTTGTCATAGTACTCGCGCCAGCTCATTTTGGCCCTAAATCAGCGTCTCGTCACGTGCACGCGATGGCTTTCGTCGTTCGTACCATGCGCCGTTGGCTTTCCAGAGAAGCGCGTCTTCGGCGCCGTGGTCGGCCACCACCTTCTTGAACGAATCGATGATCGTCATGGGCGCTTGTCCTGCAATTGTGCCGGGTGGGCCCATGCGGATCTTGACTTGGCCATCGCGGGTCCACGACTAGTGTCCAGGTTAGGCCACACACTCTACTACGGCAGTGGTGTACCGTGAGAGGGTAGTCGTCGTTGGCAAACTCAATGGAGACGCTGGATGCGAGCTCGGCCATGCTGGAAACGCTGGAAAAAGCACAATGAAGAGGTGGTGGTGCGCCGGCGGAAACAAAACAAATTTCGATATTTCACCGCCCGCCAACGTTCGCAGGGCGCTCTTATTCCGGCAAGCTTCGATTTTGCCGTTGAGTCCTTAACCATCGAACGGGCCGATACCCGAAACCGGTCGTAGCGCCTGCAAGGCTGGCGCAGCGACAATCAACTCTTACCGGGTACACGCGGGCGGCCAAGAATGACACATCAAGTCCAGGCCGACGTTTTTGCCGCACGGACGACCATCAAGAACTCCGTCGGTTCAGACCAAGCCGTGTGGCAGCCACGATCAAGGGCGACCCACACGCGCAATTAGCGATTACAAGTAAGACAAAATAGAGTAGATACTACGTAGTAGAATTCATTTTCGGATAGTCTTCGAGCGTAGCCCACCTCGCCACCCGAGTGACGCAATCAATACACGTTGATTGTCATCCCCCTGAAGGCCATGTCCAGTAATCAACCCATTGGGACGTGTCTAGTCTTGTCAGCGCTCTTGCTTGCATACCTGTGGATGTAACGCTCCTCTGTAGGATCACCAAACCAGCCTCGCTCACGAGCACCCAGCTTGCAAAGCTGCATGGTGCGAGACGGGAAAAGCAGCGTGTGGGGCCGGCGCGCGTATGGATCCATTGAAGACAGTTGCCAAATCTCGCGGTGGCTGCAATGGCCTTGACGCGCCACGTTTGATGTCAGTGTTTGTCACCTCTGCGGCGGCGCACAACGCAAGCGACCTCACCCGCTGCGGTGCAAGACGTGTACAAGCACGAATGCACGAGGTAGATGACACATGACGCAAGCAACGGACGGCGAGACGGCGCGGCGATCAACCAAGTTGGTTCGATGCCCCTTGTCGCTCCTCGACGTTCAAGCACCAACCTGCGACCCGTCTGCAACGTACCAGTAAGAAGGGGCCAAGCCGAGTCCAGCATCGCCAAGCTCTTAAAGAAACCAGAGAAGATTATCCTCGTCTTGGCGACAAGCATCACAATGACGTTGCACGGGCCGCGCCGTATACAGCGCTCGTGTACTACTGGTCTGGCGGATAATGTCATGTGAGATATCAGACGACGTTGGCTGTAGATCTTAGTTTCCATCATCGATGGTAGTGTACGCCGATGGCAAGCAACGAGGGTTTTAGTCGCTCATCATTTCGCAGGAGTCCTTTCTCTTGTGCGTAGATGCACGAGTGATGATGGTATCGTGCGTATTACTCGGTGGTACTCGGCAGGCTTGACGACGACGGCGACGTGTGCAGGTCGTGTCCGTCGTTTGGGCTTCCTCGGCTTTCTTGCTTTTGACCTTTGCGCCTCTGCGTGGCACATGCTTTTCAACTTCAACGTGGCGCCATGTGACAGCAGCCGATGGAGGCTGACGCCACGTCGAATTAAATTACATTTGCGCATTAAATAGTAAAAATTTGAAAACAAAAGACGGGCTGGAAAACTAGATAAATGACTGCATACAGAGCTCGAACGAGTAAAAAATGACCTGAAATATAATGAAACGTGTGCATTAAAACAAACGCCTCCATGTAGCCAATCCCCATCGCAGACGCGGGTATTTTATCCAATCAGAGACGTACATCCCTAATTTGACATCGCCGGCGTTCACTCCACATTTTGCCCTAGACCGTTCGCATCATGAAGGCCTTCTCGCTCGTCGCCCGTCGCTCGATCGCCATGGCGCGCCAGGT